TACGAATGCTCAACGATGTTTGATTTCCATTTGCACAAAACTACAAATCAAGTTAGCTTCCAAATGAAAGCATATGTCCTGCTAGATGCTTTCTGATTAAAGGTCCACAGGTCAGGGGCACAAAAAGACCACAGGTAGCCATGATGAGGATGATTGTGTCAAGGTTGAAGTCATATTAATTATTCTAGCCACCACAGGGACAACTGTGACAAAACCCAAGGAGAAGATATTGAATTGTATTATAAAAAATGTGTGACCAGCCTCAACGGATTCTTTGTGAGAGAAGACCAAGAAGATGAAAACACTGCAGGCAGGCAGCAGAGAGCTTTTCTCTGAGGGTTTGAAGTTAAAAGGTCATTTCGGTATTTTAAACCTGGGACATATTTTCACATATTTGGGGTTGAAATGGACTTTGTTGGAGAAATGTTTAGAATTAAGGTGTTGCTTGCAGCTACTCTGTGTACACAAAAAACTCTCCTCCCTCGTTTCCACCTTCCTGCAACAACTCGCCTCGTACGAGATTTCAGACTGAGAATTGTCCTTGAGCGAGACTTCAGTTTCCTGTTAAAAACAAAGGGTGTCACCAGGAGTCCCTTGTAGGGATCCTCTCCATGATATTGAACCTTTTATACCTACAAGTCATTTCCACATCAAAATATGCAAACAAATGTGTTTACAAATATTGAAATCATCCTTTAATAGTTGAACCTTTACAACAAATTTTTAGGACAACAAATGAAGATGGCCGATGCCCAGGACTCATCACCCGAGGAGCTTTCGTCCCCGGCATGTACAAGCTGCGCTTTGAGACGGGTTCATACTGGGAGAATCTGGGTCAGACCTCCTTTTACCCATATGTCGAGGTGAGCTTCAGTGTTTAGGATGCTGTATCATCTATATCCTGGATCAGGATATCACTTACTGTGCATGCACAACATGTTTGTAATGGGTTTGCAGTCTAACAACACTTTTAAAGCTTTACTTGTAGTCCTAACCCTTAAAAGGATCATCTTAGAATTCTTGCATCTTACTGCAGTTTAAGAACAACAACTCTTTTTTTAGTACTCAAATGTTTGTTAATGATTAATTAGGACGTCATTCTGCACCTTTAATGCTGCCACTGGCAATTATACAACTAATAGTCACCAGATAATGAATAAGTGTCAGTTGCATGTTACTTAAAAAATCATTCCTGGTTTAACCAGGCTGGTTTGTTTAGGTTTTAAAAAATGAATAGACGGAGATGGAAATCTTTATAAGCGTCTTAGAAATTGAAAGACACTGGATTTCTTAAAACAGATGGGCGTTGTAGTTTTCAGCAGACGTCAGAAGCTTCATCCTGTTGAAGTGTCCTGCTGGCTCAGCAGCTGCTTATGAAAACACTTTCAATGTGACCAGTGACCACAAGTCACACAACGCAGATTCAGGATTGATGCTTGAGCACGTTTTAGTTAGAAATCTTGCGTCAGTTTTGACAACAGTAATGTGTATCATAAAATAATATGTCAGTAGGTATCATCACAACATCATGATAAATAACTCCATGGAAAGCTGAGAGTCTGCAGCAACCTAATTATTTATCAACGCAATAGTTTGATTTGTAATAAACTTATCAGTTTGTATTTGTGTTGCTGACTTGTTTCCGTGTGTGTTTGTGTTTCCAGGTTGTGTTTACCATCAGTGACCCGGAGCAGAGGTTCCACCTCCCTCTGCTGATGAGTCGGTTCTCCTACAGCACCTACAGAGGAAGCTGAGCGCTCAGAGGACGACCGGCTGCAGCTTCAACGCAGTGTAACCAGGGATGGAGAGGGTCTCTGTTTTCTACAACTTGGACTTCTCCAGTTCATGTGCTTGTTTGTGTTTTGTCCAGTTTCAATGTTACCTGTGCTGAGTTTTAAATATTTTATTGCGATTGGTGTGATGCTGACATTTTAATCAACATACTGTAATTAATGTAACAGCAGCGGTGCATAGAAACATTAAAGGTCGGTTTTATCCCTTTAAGTTACTTATTAAATGCATATTTAACATTTATATCTTGTTATTTGATGTTTCATTTTACTTCCACTGCAAACCGCATTATTTTGGGGGAAACTCTTAATTTAGGATAAGCATGCAAACATCTTATTTATTCACTTCTCATTCAGACTGTATATCAGTATAAAGAGTAGGCCTCTTCAGCAACGGAAAGTATACAGCTCATAAACATGACTTTTAATGATGTCTTTGACACTAAGATGTTGACACGTTATATAAGAAATGTCACCGCGTGTTTTGGTAACACGAGCAGTTGAATAACTGAGTGCCTTTCTGTCTCAGCCAATCACAGAGCTGATGTGCTATGAGGACCCAGTGTTGGCTCTTTACATGCCGGAATGCAATAAAGCAATCTTAAAATGAATTACATACGACTACCTGCACTAAATTAGTAATGTATTTTGTTTTATAATAAAGAGTCCCGATCAGATCTAGGGGACATTTAGAATAAATATGATATCTTTTCTTTTACAATAATTTCCGGCAGGTTCTGTAAGAGAAAGCCTTTCGGACCTTTACATCACCCTGCCGTTGACATTTCACGCCGCAGCTCAATAACATTTGTAAAAGCGACACGATGAAGTTCAGGGGAGGAAATTGAAGGGAAAACGTTGTGTTTTTGGACTGAAAGACTGGGCAAGCGGTACGGGAAGGATGTCTCAGGTGCTGAGGCTTCTCTCGGCGGCCACCCTGCCTCTCTACCGGGCTGCCGGAGCCCGAGCGCGGCTCTCCGCGGTGACGGTAGGACGGCTTTTCACAGCCCGATACCGAAGCTCCGCTGCCCCGGTAAGAGAAGGTGGAGGTTTTCCGGATAACTGTTGTACAAGAAGTGTACACGTTTATCAGGGGGTTTAATGACCCATATTTGTTCTCCACGTGGGTTGGAAACCTAGATTTAAACTAACCATTCTTTGTCTAGAGGAACGTATATCTCGCTAGCGACTGCGTGCCGAATCCCGTTGCAAAACCATTCACTTTAAGGCGCGTCTGTTTAAAAACGAGATATCATTAGCAATGAAACTCAATTTAAGACCCAATCTGCCTGATTCTAATCTATTTTTCAATTCGGCATTAATCCGATCAAGCCAATTACATCGATTACATCATATTGACTTGTTCTGTGTGGGGACAGGAAGTTGCACAGTAATGTTAGCAGGGGACTTGATGTTACAGGCGAGGGGGCTGCAGCTCCACCTAAAACCGGGCACTTTTAAAAACCATCAAGAAGTGTGATACACAGGTGAGAGAGAGAGAGAACAAGTGTGAAGCGAGAGATGGGGTACATGTGAATACAGGCAGATGTGTCGATGGAGTATCTAAGTAATCCCATATTACTAAATTATTATGAGAAGTAACTAAGTAATCAGGTTGTTAGTCGTTAATAGTTTTATTCCGCTCAGTGGCTGATTCAGAGTCACAGCATGTATTAAGTAATTTATTTAATTACTATAGTAATGCCTCTCAGTCCTCGAGTAAATCATCATTATTCACAGTATAGTCCTCAATTCAGAGTTATTCACTAAGTACTTAGATCAGGTCGTTCCTGAATCGTTCCTCAGTAACTGCTCATCATTTTGTGAAGCGTTAGTGCGTCAATATTTCCCCATGTTACCCAGGTGATGATGTGTCTTTTATTGTTTTATCGTTCATCCCAAAGGTGCTTGATGGGGATGAGGTTAACTTGTTCTAAAAACATGCTGTAGCATTAAGATTTAAACAGGGAAAAACGGACCCAGACCAAAAGAGTGTGAACGAGATTGTCCACATATCAAGATCATTCTGAGCTACTTTGACCATGTCCCCCACATCTTAATTATTTCCACTGCTGATAGAGTCTAATGCAGTTCAGAATTAACTGGTCAGGTGTTTTAAATAAGTGTGACCTTCAGCGTGCAGTTGTTTACCTGTTCTAGGTGTTGGTCATATAAACCAGAGTCATGAGCTGTTCAGCAGACCCTCTCAGGTCGGTGTTTGTGGTGTGTATTCAGCATGCTAACAGTGTCTCTGTGGTCTTTTCCAGAACGTCGGTCGGACTCCAGCTGACTTCCTGTCCTGTCGCAGGTTCCAGGCGGCTCAGCGACGACTGTACTCCACTGAACCCAAAGGTGAGAGCCGCTGTGTGTCTGAAGAACAAAAGGTGGATTCAGGTGCAGTTCAAAAAAAGCAGCAAACAAAGAGAATTTGTGAACCCTCAAAGGTTTTTATTGATGCAACGTTTTGACCTAAGAGATTTTTATCAGGCAAGAAAAGCAGGATTTATATTCAGTCATGAAACCGCAAAATCAGTTGCAGAAACATTTTCCTGATAAGTTATAATTTCACTGAAAGCAGAGCTGGGTTGGAAACCAGAGAGGAAACGCTGGTTTGTCTGACAGATGTGTGATCGTGTCTGAGTTTCAGATGGAAAAGGAGGAGGAGCAGGTAGACCAGGTGGAGGGAAGAGAGGAGGAAGTGGCGGAGGAAAAGACTGGTGGAGCCGAATGCAAAAGGTAAAGTGAAGAAATGTAAATGTCAGCATGGATTCTAATGCCTGCACAGGTATTTTATCATATGATGATTAAAGATTTTTGTGGAGGAGAAGGAAACACTAAAAATAGAAGTTGGGCTTCTTTAGAGTTGCTGTTTTAACTTTACACAGCCAGTCTCTTTATGGTCAGTCCTGGGGGGAAATTGACAAAAAAATTGTTGGACTTATTTTGACCTGAAAAAAAGTATTGAATAGAAATTATGTCAAATATTATCTCAAGGCAGCTTGTGGGAAAAAATGTTTGTTGGCTTTATTTTAAATTCATCCAGTCAGAGAAAAGAGAAATATGTAAAGTGAAACCTTTTTCATAACAGCAGTAGGTGGCTCTGAAAATGCGATCTAGCAGCTGGATATCAGAAGAAATATTATTAAAGCTGCAACAATTAGTCAATAAATCCAAATTGATTAGTTGTAAAAGTAATCTTTTAAGCAAAAATGCTAGCAGTGCTTGCAGAGCTCGGTCCGGTGAATGTCCTGTTCCTCATCACCTGTTGGTCAGCCCGTTCAGACGTAACGCTCGGCTGTGTGTCTGCTGCCCCTCAGGGTGACTTCCCCTGGGATGAGAAGGATTTCCGTTACTTGGCGGTCACCGTGGCCGGACTCAGTTCGGCTCTGCTCTACTTCTACTTCAGAGACAACGGCAAAGAGATCAGCTGGAAGGACTTCGTCCACCGCTACGTGGGCAGAGGAATGGTGAGGAGCACTCGCAAACTGGCATCGGCTGAAAATCAGTTCTGAACATCCATAGAGATGAAGTGAAATGAATGTGGCTGAGTTTAAAGATGCATCATCCGCTGTAGACCTGAACACCTTGTAAAACAGGAGGCTGGAGCCCTGCTGCTTTTGGTCCTGCATTTACTTAAAATCTTCAGCTTCAGGCACAAATACATTGTTTTTAATTTAAAACAAAATAAAAATGTGTTTAAAAAAACATTTCTCTTTTTTTTTTTTTTACTGCGTAGGTGGAACGTTTAGAGGTCGTCAACAAACAGTATGTCAGAGTCATCCTGGCGCCGGGAGCCGACGCTGATGCGGTGAGACGAAACTGAAACACGACACAGAAATGAATTTTCTGCTAACTTGTAATGAAATTTAGTATATTTGTAATAATGTTTGCTGCATTTTTCCAAACATCCTGTGTGTAACGTTAAAATCAAGCTGTGAAAATGGGACCAGAAAAACATCTTGTATGAAATCAAGGTCAACAAATACTCATCTTGCCACACTAAATTCTATTTTCTGCTCTTCATGTATTTGAATTGTCAGCTGAAATGAATGTAACCTTCTGGATATTTGTCTGTATTGAAATTGGAATTTATTTTGGTCTGTAAATAATTACCACAAAAACGGCAATTACTCCAATCAAAGGAAAGCAATAAAATAGCATGAAGGTTTTCGACTGGCTCAAAGTCACATCATGAAATTTTATGCGAACTGCAGAGCTACGTTTGGTTCAACATCGGCAGCGTCGACACGTTTGAGAGGAACCTGGAGGCGGCGCACATGGAGCTCGGCTTGGAGGCGTCACACCGACCAGCTGTCGTCTACAGCACCGAGAGCGACGGGTGGGTTTAACACAAATATTAATGTTGCCAGTGAAACCAAAAAAAGAGGAATATTTCTACTTTTTGACAGTCGGAGAACGCCAGCAGGGCGTTTCCTCCGTCCCAGATGATAACGGCCCCCCTCTCTTGTCCCAGCTCTTTTCTGATCAGCATGGTACCGACCATGCTGCTGATTGGCTTCCTGCTCTTTACCCTGCGGCGAGGACCAATGGGAGGAGGCCCCGGTGGCGGGAGGGGCGGGCCCTTCAGTATGAGCGAGTCTACGGCGAAGATGATGAAGGACAACATTGAAGTGAAGTTCAAGGACGTGGCCGGCTGTGAGGAGGCCAAGCTGGAGATCCTGGAGTTCGTCAACTTCCTGAAGAACCCACAACAGTACCTGGACCTCGGAGCCAAGATCCCCAAGGTAAAAAATACAAGCACAGACTAACAGGGCACTACACTAGCAGGGATTTTACTAAATATTCACCTTGAAGCTGCTGTAGATGATTGTATATTCAGTCTAAAACAGTGAAGTCAGAGTGTGCTAAATCATTTAACATCCATATCTCCACAAGTCTTTGTTCAAACGCTACCAAAATCAACACAGACATTCTCTAGATGGCCGATATCAAGTGTTTCAAAGGGTTTTTACATCCGTTCAATGGTGAGTCTGCAGTGATATTCTGTATCGTGCTGTAACTTGTACAGTTTGCACAACATTTTTGTTTTTGCTCAGTTTTGGATCAAACGTCACCAAAATAATCGACAACACACCCAAAAGCAGCAGAATGATGTGTGATTTGTTTTTTTGTTTTTTCAGAGTGTGGTAAGCATTTTAGGTTTAAACTAACAAAAGTTTCCGAGTCTGGCACATGGGATGTCATTGCCGCAACTTCCACCAGTAACTCAGTCGATGAGTCAACTTTTTACATATCTGAATCTAAAAACGTGTATTTTTAATTTAGTTATATTTTAAGCAGCCAGGAAGAGTTTGGGATTGTTAACTCATTCACTCCTTATTTTATTTTAAATCTCAAAAGTTGAGATTGTATAAACCCCCAAAATGCCCCATCAGTTTGCCTTTACATCACTGACGATCATTTTTAAATCAGGCTCACTGTCTACAGTTTATTGATGAGTTAAATGTCTTGTCATGTGGTATCCCAGGGTGCTATGCTGTCCGGACCTCCTGGGACGGGGAAGACTCTGCTGGCTAAAGCCACAGCCGGAGAGGCCAACGTCCCTTTCATCACTGTAAATGGCTCCGAGTTCCTGGAGATGTTTGTGGGCGTCGGTCCTGCCAGGGTGAGTGAAGGAAACCAGATCAGATATCTGTGGGACCAGAGGAGGGTGGGGAACGTCCTCCCTGCCTCGTGAAAAACTCTCTGAGATAACCTTTTGGTGGATAGTTCAGGAGACATTTTCCTACATTGAGTTTTCTCCTCTGCAGGTGAGGGACATGTTCTCCATGGCGAAGAAGAACGCCCCCTGCATCCTCTTCATCGATGAGATCGATGCGGTGGGGAGGAAGAGGGGAGGAGGGAACTTTGGAGGTCAGAGTGAACAGGAGAACACTCTGAACCAGCTGCTGGTGGAGATGGACGGTAGGCTGGACATGAACTAAATGTGTGATTCTTCAGGTTTGTGAGGTTTTAGGTCTTAACCGCCCGTCTTTTGTTTGTTTTGCAGGTTTTAACACGGCTACTAATGTGGTGGTCCTGGCTGGAACCAACAGACCCGACATCCTGGATCCTGCCCTGATGAGACCGGGTCGCTTTGACAGGCAGATCTACATAGGTAGAGTTCAACACTGAGCAGTGATATATAATATATATATATGAGAGAGAGAGCGAGCGAGCTATTTCCTGGAGCCCCCGCTGACATGTGATATTCTGTCTACTGTAGAGCAAAGAAAAGCAGCAATCCTTCTAACTGAGAGGCTGGAAGCATCAGATGTTTTGTACTTTTACTGTGAAAAATGACCTTAAGGTTATCAAAATAGCCAAATAATTTTGTTGTTTCAGCTCTACATCAGTCGAGAAAGAAAATAACCTCTGCACGAGTAAAATGTATCCTGATAAAGATTCATTAGGGCTGTACCGAATGTCTTTTTTTTGGTTGTTGTTTTTTTTTTACATTTGAAGCGTCTCGTGAGGTTTTCACTCGTCATCACCCTAAAAATCCTCAATTTGAATAAAGTAGGTCATTGGATTAAATGAGTTAGACTTGAGTTAGAGAATTGGTTGGTTGCAGTTTGTAAACGTACGATTCAAAGTTGGCCCCATGCAGAGAGTGAATAAAGCGAGTGAGCGGCGTTACTGAGAACAAAACAATGAATCAGAGAATTTTTTTTATTAAATTAGTTTAGATTCTTTATTGTCTTTTTCAGGAAATTTGTTTCCACCATTTCTCCATACATAGCGTCACATTTAAACAAGATGAACTCGCCTAACAACATATCAAACGGCACATTTATACACAAATCAAAGATACTTTCTTACTTAGCGAGTAGGTTTGTTGAGTAGTGCCATGGCAGAGGGGGTAAAACTCCTGCTATAGCGAGCCTGTTTCCAGGCCCTGATGGGAGCAGAGTGAAGAATGGGTTCTGTTTTACTAAACAAAGTAATGCAACGTTCCCAGTAAAAGACCGTAGAAAACAAAATTTAACGTGTGTTCTGCACCACAGAGACGACACATTGAATAAATCAGCTTTTCCTCTTCCAGACTGACAAGATCTCAACTGAGCACGCAAAGCTATCCGCTTCATAGATACATTATATATAACACAATTTTAACTATATTCATATTCTGTTATTCTACATGTGCACAGGCTTGGTTTAGTCTGTATATCAACAGTTGTTTAATCTCAGCAGACGCAGAGTTGTAGAACAACGATTCAACAAAGATCCAAAGATTTATGGATCCTCTCCATCAGCCTGCTTCCTCCCACATCACGTAACTGATTCTCTCGTCTCCACTCAGGTCCCCCAGACATCAAGGGCAGGGCGTCCATCTTTAAGGTCCACCTGCGACCAATCAAAATTGACCCCAGCTTGGACAAAGACATTCTCGCCAGGAAGATGGCCGCCGCCACCCCGGGATTCACAGGTATGTGACAGCTACATCACAATGTAGTGCTTTCGTTAAGACTGTTAGAGACACGTAGGGGAATTTAAAATATGATAGTGTAGTCAGTCAGTTTCTTGCTCCACGCAACACCAGAGAAAAGTAAAATAAATACCTTTTTAGAAATAGTTGGAAACCCTTAAAAATCTAAAGTTTTTTTTCTTATGGCTCAAACCAGCATTTTAGAGCTGCTTGCAGAAAAACAATGTTGATATTAATAAGTATAACTAATGTGTTCAGTGTCAGAATTTTCAGATGTTTGACGGCTGTATTTTCCGCTGTGAATGAATCAGGAGCCGACATCGCTAACGTCTGCAACGAGGCAGCTCTGATCGCAGCCAGACACCTGAACCCGTCCGTCAACGGCAAACACTTCGAACAGGCCATCGACCGGGTCATCGGAGGTCGGTGTTTTTATTCATTCCCTGTTTTTGTTGTTCTCACTCTGCGTCATGATTATGTTCCCTATTTTAAAACCTTTCATGATGTAGAATAATAACATAACTGATACTGTCTGTCTGTGTGTTTGTTTTCAGGTCTGGAGAAGAAGACTCAGGTCCTGCAGCCCACAGAGAAAAAGACCGTAGCGTATCACGAGGCCGGTCACGCCATCGTGGGCTGGTTCCTGCAGCACGCAGACCCACTGCTGAAGGTTTTTTTTTTTTTTTCTGTTACTGCTGATGCACACGTTTATACTCTGTTTGGTACATCTCTGAAAATTTTTTAAACTTGATGTGAGTCAGAATAAAACTTAAATTAGTCTGTATTAAATATTATCCCAATAAAAAAAAGATGTTCATAAAAACACTCAAAATACAATTATTAAAATGAATTAATAAAAGTATAAATAGAAAATTAATAAGTGATAAAAAAATAAATTACAAATAATTGAAAATGCTTTAAAGAAAAAACAAGAAAGTTCTTATTTGTATAGCACTGTACATGCAATAACTTTACAACTTCAGGATTGAAAATGAAAATGGACAACAATAAACAAAATAAAATGTTAAAAACAATGGACGCAACAGGAAATTTCAAAGACGCTGACAAAGGTGGACTACCTGAATTAAGAGCAAGATGAAAAAGAAAGGTCTTTAATTTCTTTTTTTCAAAAACAGAGAGTTTTCTGTTCTAGGATCTAGAGTGAGGACGTAGCAGGTTTCTCCTGGGAAACATTATTATAACTTAAAGACAGTGAGCGGAACAGCCAATTCTGAAAATGTGCAATTTAATCAGAAGTAAAACTGAACAGGAAAGTTGTGAATTGATTGAAAGGTGTTTTTTTTATCAGCTTGGTTGCTTTTGTTGTTGCTCTTTTGACCAAGATGCAGTTCTATTAATCACCTTCCCAGATAAAGTGATCTAATGTACCCACTGCAGAGCAGAGTGGTGACATGTCTCTGCTGTGTGTCCAGGTGTCGATCATCCCGCGGGGGAAGGGTCTGGGTTACGCCCAGTACCTGCCCAGAGAGCAGTACCTGTACACCAGGGAGCAGCTGTTCGACAGGATGTGCATGATGCTGGGAGGCCGCGTGGCCGAGCAGGTCTTCTTCGGCAAGATCACCACCGGAGCTCAGGACGACCTGAAGAAGGTCACACAGTCCGCCTACGCTCAGGTACACACACACACACCTGCTTTGATCCTGGATTTAGCAGTAGAGTGTTTTTCCTGCTGTGACACCGGTGCCTCCTTCCTGCACCCCCCTCCAGGTGGTGCAGTTTGGGATGAGTGACAAGGTGGGGCAGGTGTCGTTCGACCTGCCCCGGCAGGGTGAGATGGTCATGGAGAAGCCGTACAGCGAGGCCACGGCCGAGCTGATTGACGAGGAGGTCCGAGAGCTGGTGGAGCGAGCGTACCAGAGAACCATGCAGCTCATTGAGGACAAGAAGGAGCTGGTGGAGATGGTGAGATACGTCATGGGTGTTACCTGGACCTCTGCGTAAGTTTGGTTCAGTTTTTTACCATCTTGTTACTCAAAGGAGAAGAAAAGTTCCAGAGAAGAAGGAGACGATGGAACGATTTGTGAAATGTTGTGGAAGGTGGAGAAACACAAAACTTGTGTTTCATAAACGTCTTCTAATCAGTTTTAACACTTTGAAGTACTTTATTTGAGGTGTGACTATTTTGTTGCTTCGGAGGTTTGAGAAGGATTGTTCTTTTGATATTTAGTTGCAGCATAGATAAGATGCTTGCCTTTGGTGTGGGAGACCCGGGTTCGATTCCCACTGTGAGACATCCACCATTGTGTCCCTGAGCAAGACACTTAACCCTTCGTTGCTCCAGAGGCGTGCGACCTCTGACATGTATAGCAGTTGTAAGTCGCTTTGGTTAAAAGCGTCAGCTGAATGTAAATGTACATTCAGTAATATCAGCTGATTTTTAAAGGATTTAATTTTAGTTTTTAGCAATGACCGTTGTCTTTTTAACTTAAGAGATTCATGTAATAAAAAGACTTTTCTACCAAGACTGAGAAATGATTAAAAAAAAAAACGTTAAATAAAATTTCCGCCTTCTCTCCCTTTTGCTGATGAAGTAGCAGTAAAGTATTCATCCCTGACTTCTTCTTCAGGTGGGGAAGCGTCTCCTGGAGAAGGAGGTCCTGGACAAGGCGGACATGTTGGAGCTGCTGGGCCCACGGCCGTTCGACGAGAAGTCGACGTACGAGGACTTTGTGGAGGGGACGGGGAGCTTCGAGGAGGACACGAGTCTGCCTCAGGGCCTCCGAGACTGGAACCAGGAGAGAGGAGAGGAGGCCGAGGACACGAGCCCGGCTCAGGACAAACAGCAGGCCGTGTAGAGTCCGAAAACTGAAGAGAAACAAGCTTTATATCCAGCTGCAAAAAAACAACTTAACGCTGACTCACAGTTTCACAGAGCCTGGGAGGTGTGGGGGGATTTTTATAATATAGATGACCAGCAGCAAGGTCTCAGTTTCATCCAGTTTGTCCCCTCAACACTCTCAGATTTGATTTTAATTTTGGACCGAGACATTTGGGTTTTGTCTGTTCTAAAAAAAGATGTACAAAAGAGAAAGAAGAGGGCAAATGAAATGATAATTCCTGCTCTTAAATTGGTTTAATTAAGTAATTCAAGTTTATTAATCACCACTTTGAGAGAATGTTTCTGCCGCCAGGCTCTGCACCATCTGCACTCAAATGTAGAATTTACTTTGATTCCACTGAGGCTGCGATCAGTTTGTTTTTTCACCGTTCGGACAGGAAGACTCCAAATCGCCTTAAACAGGAGATAAACAGACTGTTTTTAATATTCCTTAAGCGAGTGTACATGGTGCACATTTACAACAGGCTGATTTTTATTTTTATTTATTTCTGCTCCCTGACTGACGAAGTGACTGTCTGAAGAAGTTTTCTGCAGCCAAATGTTTCGCCGGGTTTAGTGTTCATGCCTACAACACCAGAGCGACTGTCAGTTTGAGCTCTACGGAGTTTGGATTTCTTTTATACAAACACCTTGATGCTGTAAAAAGATGTGTAGATGATTGTGTACATTTTGTGTGATAATGACTAACAGGAAGCTGCTACATCCACTGACTAATGGGAATTAATATTTCATTTTTCTCTGAAGGATTTCTGCTGATTCGAAAGAAAAATCTACAGTTTTCTGATCCGTCTCTGCAGCAGAGTGAAAGGCTCGTCTCTGTTTTAATTATTTTTAATCATCGGCTCCCCTGAAGGATAAAACCAATTAAACTCAAATTAACAAGTACTATGTTTATCTGCCAAAAACTATTAGAAACACATAAGAGAGGTGCTGTTACAGTGCACAGTGTTCCTCTCTGAAAAGTCTCCTAACAGAAGAGAAAAATGCAACGTGTCCTGCTATGTGAAATTCGGTTATTGTGTCTTTAGTCCCTGAAACTTGGTCTTTGGGGTTAAAATACAGATTGCAAACCTCCACCTACGTTGCAGAATGTAGGTTATTTAAAACGGTAAAAAAGAATAAAATAAAAGGTACACGCTCATTTGACTGGTTCCAGATCAAATTGAAGCATTTAAAGGCAACATTAACACCTTAAATTATAATAAATGTAAGACTCGCTTGATTGTAAGACAGAAATCAGCGGATAAAAAAGTACAAACTTATATTGAAAAGTCTTTTTAAAGACGTTTAGAATTTAAAACCTTTGTCACAAGAAGAAAAATAAAAGATTTCTTTCCAGTTTAACACCAAGAAAAGATTTTCATGGATTTTATCTGATTTAAGGCCTTTAATTGAAGTCATTTTAGACTTAGGACCTGCAGAGACATCAATAATAAAATCACACACGTGCACAGTATGAATAACTCCGACACCGCTTCCATCTCAAGGTTTCTGTAGCAGGCTGCTGGAATATTTGACTTATCAATAACAGTGTCCGTAGGAAACTTTCTTTTTAATGCCACGTTCGTGTCGCCGCATTGTCCAGCAGGTTGCGACGTCACTGACTGTGTGCAGAGTGTGAACACGCATCTGCTGGGAATCTGTGTTCCTGCAGTCTGTTAACAGCAGGACGGTCCGACTGACCAGCTGCTCAATCTGACGAGCTTCAGACTTTAGTGTCCCGTGAGTCTTTGAACGCTGCTTCAGAGGTTTGTCAGGTTTAATATTTAATAACATCTTGTAAAGTCAGGAAACATTCAAGGGATGAACAATAAATATTCTTTATATCAAAATCACAGTTTTAAAGATTACAGTTTTCAAATCGCACGAGCTGCAAGTTTAATTATTTGGGAAAATTATTTTGGGATTTGGGAAACATGACTCAGACAAAAGCTAGATCCCTGTGCAGTGCGCTACAGTCTCTAATCCAGGAGGCTGATTTATGTGTTTCCTTTCAGACTCTGGGACGATCGTTTGAAATGATTCATGTAAAATGTAAGTTTGTTAATGAAGCTGTAGGAGGCTCGCTAGTCAGAATTTGTTGGATGCTGTTTTACTGGAGTCGCGTTTCCTGGATCTCTATAACTCAGCTGGAAAGTACAACAAATATCCAACAAAGAAGAAGTTTAGAGTAAGTTAACCTGAATATCTTTTTTGCCGACCTTCAGTGGTTTAACCTCTCACCTTGCTGCAGTGATGTACAGGTGTACTCCGGACCCTGTGACATCACTGTTGGGTGTGGTCACAGGTGCAACAGAGCACATTTTCAAACACTGCTGTTGGTTTACTGAAAGTAAATAATCTGACTAGAGAAATAAGTTTACTTTTATTTGACCTTTTAGAAAAAATAGTTACCAATTTCTCTTTTTCCCCCACACAACTAAAAGAGCTGACAGACGTGTAAAGGTCACCTGAGGTCGTCGTGTCCTTAGCAGCACATTTGACACTTTAATACAAACACACTGTCATCATGTACAAACTGCAGTCTGTGTTTTATTAAAGCGTCTTTTTATCAATAGATGCTGGTGATTCTTTCTGTGAATGAAGTAGTTAAAACTAGTTCCACCTCGACCAATGACAACATTTTTGATAATAGTTCCAATAATATACTGAGTTTTGGTGCTGTTACCAAAATTAATCAGATTCAAAGGAATATAAACCAGTTTTATTTAAAAAAAGAAGATAAAGTTTCCAAAGGGTAAATCTAACAAAAGAGACATAGGGAGGAGCAACAGTGACAGAGGAGAGCTGCAACGTCACATTTCCTCAAGTCAAAGTTAGTCTGAGTGTCAGCAGAGCTGCGGTCGAGACAAGTCTCTCAGTTTGTCTCTAAAGAAACATTCAACTTTTCTCAACAAACAGCAGAATCTCTGCCAAACCCTGGAGAGTACACGGCCCTACAAAGCCAAAATGCACTGACTCAGTATTTGCTCAAAGTTCAGTTCAAACCAGAATTGGACTGTTTTACATCTGTTTTACCAGATAAAGGATATGATGTCATAGAAATGTGTTAATGTTGTTGAAACACCGTAAATATTATCAGCTGTACTTGTTTGTCAGAGACTCTCCTTTGTTGTTAAGTCAGCTTAACTTTTCTTTTAGTTAGAATCAGTCGTGTTTTTCCAGTACTGCTCCAACTCTTCCTGCTCTGCAGGTGAGGTTTTGTTGCCTTTCGAGTTCGACCTGTTTAGTGATGTTCTTTTGGGAAATGGTGAATTTAGTAGACTTGTTAAGGGCACCTTGTGGTTTTCTTGTGATGGAGTCTATAGCATACTCTAACAGTCAAACAACAAGCCAACAGAGGTCGATCCAACACATGCAAGAACATCCTGTATCTATGGCTCAGTTGGCTACAACACTCCCTTTATAGTCTCTCTTTAAGGTACAACAATCCCAACATCCGTTCAATGTTAAACTTCACTTTTCCACCTTTTCACATCACATGTAACCGACAGAATGAGTTGCCACAAAGGACACAGTTACTCTTTGGTCAGAGTTTAAGACACTTCAGGTATCTTCAAAAAAAGTCCTGTTCCCCTTGATTTTAACCTTTCAGATTTGTTTTTTTCTCACTTGTTGTCCTCAGAGTGTGGATATTTCTGCTGCCAGCTGTCTGCTGACTGAAGAACAGTTTCTGTGCTCCATCTGTCTGGATGTTCACTGATCCAGTCACCACACCATGTGGACACAGCTTCTGTAAAACCTGCATCACTGAACACTGGAATATTAGTGTCCTGTGTCAGTGTCCCAACTGTGAAGAGGTTTTCAACTCAAAACCTGAGCTGCAGGTCAACACTTTCATCTCTGAGATGGCTGCTCAGTTCAGACAGTCAGCTCAACAGAAAGCCAGCAGCAGCAGCTCAGAGCAACAAGCTGCCAAACCAGGAGAAGTTCCCTGTGACGTCTGCACTGGAACCAAACTGAAGGCCCTGAAGTCCTGCCTGGTGTGTCTGGGTTCCTACTGTGAGACTCACCTGGAGCCTCATCTGACAATGGCAGGCCTGAAAAGACATCAGCTGATCGACCCTGTGGAGAACCTGGAAGGCAGGATGTGTACGAAGCACGATAAACTGCTGGAGCTGTTCTGTAAGACCGACCAGATGTGTGTCTGCATGCTCTGCTCTGTTTCAGACCACAAGACACATGAAGTTGTTCCTCTGAAAGAAGAATATGAAGGAAAGAAGGCCGAGCTGGGGAAGACAGAGGCTGAAACTCAGCAGATGATCCAGAAGAGACGACTGAAGATTGAGGAGATCAAACGCTCAGTGGAGCTCAGTAAGGAAGATGCAGACAGAGAGATAGCAGGTGGTGTTCAGGTCTTCAGCGCTCTGAAGGAGTCTGTTGAGAGAAGCCAGGCCGAGTCATCGACACGATCAAAGAGAAGCAGAGAGAGACAGAGAAACAGGCTGAAGGCTTCATCAAAGAGCTGGAACAGGAAATCTCTGAGCTGAAGAAGAGAAGCTCTGAGGTGGAGCAGCTCTCACGCTCTGAAGACCACCTCCACCTCCTCCAAAGCCTCCGTCCCTGAACGCTGCTCCACCACCAAGGACTGGACAGAAGTCAGCGTCCGTCCACCTTCATAGAGGGGACTGTGAGGAGAGCTGTGAATCAGCTGGAGGGACGCTCAGTGAACAGATGAAGAAGCTGTTTGACGCCCAGCCCAAGAGGGTCCAGCAGTATGCAGTGGATGTGACCCTCGATCCTGATACAGCACATCCTGCTCTCATCCTGACTGATGATGGAAAACAAGTTAAACATGCTGATGTATGGAAGAATCTCCCAGACAATCCAGAGAGATTTGATTTTTGTTAGGGTTAGGGGTTAGGAGGAGGGGAAAAGTACCGGCTAACGACTTACGTAGCTTAGCGTTAGCCAGACTGGTGCACGGTCCTGTGATGTGCCTTCAGAGTCCCCAGAAAGTGAAAAGCACCTCCACACTCCACATTTCCCTTATAACAGCCACAAAAGTGCATTACCTCTGCGCTGGTTCAAAAATTGGACTCATGACACAATTTCTGGGACATGGAAGAGCTGAGGATCTGTTGCAGCACATCAAAGTAAGTTTATTTTTATATGCTTATTGGTTAGAGGCAGTAGCGGCATTCAAAACAACGCCGTTACTAGTTTACTATTTTCTACATCAGTAGCTTTTCAGAAGTGAAACTATTTACTGATTAAAGGGTAACTAAACCCTAAACCAATTTTTTTAGTATTAGTGCTGTTTTTATTGATTCGAGTAACTTTTTGACATTTAAAATGCTGCCCTCTTCAGGTTGAACGGTGGCTACTGCAGTTGAATTCTCCACTCCATTTGAGAGTCTGACAAGCAGGTCTCAGGTGCACGCCCCTCTATCTCCGCTGGGGTCTACCCACTTTTCCTGCATTTTTCAAATATTGCCAGTGGGTAGAGTCGGGCTCTGACCAGGGGTTTAGTTACAGGGGTTCAGTAACATGGTAGCGTTCACAGAAGCTACATTTCCCAGCGGAGTTTCTGCTGGGGTCTGGGCTGAAGCCGTAACCATGGTGATGACAGACGCTGCTGCGGGGTAGCTGGGGAGCGTGCGCAGGAGACGGCGGTGAGAAAGCAGGGGTAGAGAGAGTTCATATTGTGAGTCTTATCAGACTTTTCCCTTAACTCACCTTCAACGTCATTTGTCCTTTTTTTGCCAGGCTGCTACTGTTTGGAGCAGGTCTTAATTTTGCTCTTGTGGGTTGAACCACGTTAACGTTAGTGATCTTATACAAAGTTTCCTCCCAATGTGCCCTAAATGAAGTATACATCCAAACAGTGTGGCGCTTCTACAATATACACTCTTCCCGTTTTTGTAATTGGCTATGTGAGGATGTTTTTGTTGGTTTGTGTTGCCATGGTTTTGTAGCAGTTAAAGCATTGAGAACAGTTTAATAAGCTATCTTGACATTTTTGCCTATTAGTTTGTCTTACAGTTTTATTGATCACTAGATAGCCATGGCTTGGAGTGAAATTAGTTCAATGTTTTAATAAAGTAGCTTTGATGTAGTTATGTGATGGACTTTATATTTTATTGTAGCTTAGCTTGCTACATTTGCTATCTTTCGTTTGGTGGGTAGCTTTCATTTAGTGATTGATGGAGAGTAACTTATAGATTGGCTTAATACATTTTCCAAGTTGCTTGCCCAACACTGGCCAGGGGACATTGTTTGCATTTGAACAGTTTCATGGATTTGATCATTTTATTCATTTAGCCTACTTCTGAATTTTGTAACACAATGTTGGAAAAATGTAGCCTATATATGGTAATTAAAAAGTGTTATAGCCTAACTTATGCTTTGGCAAAGCAGTCCTTGACATAAGCATAATATCTATCTCTTTCAAATGTATTTCAACATCTTAGGTTTTACATTAGGATAATAAAGCTAAATGTTTCATTTGAAGCATACTGTATACAGTTTTACTGTCGGTCTGTATATTGAATGTACTTATTTACTTAATAAATGTTATTTAAACAAAACTTTCTTCTGTTTGATAATTCACAGGAATGTGTTGCTCAGCTCAACATGAGGCGGCTCCTCTCTGTGGGAATGGATGGCCCCAACGTAAACTTCAAGCTCCTCGATCTCCTTCAAAAGGAGCATAACGAGCTGTATGGAGGTGCTCAAGTCCTGATAGTTGGGAGCTGTGGACTTCACACTCTCCACAATGCCATGAAGGCAGGCTTTACAGCCTGGCAAATTGACAAGCTCCTGCGTGCGCTCCATTTCCTCTTTCACAACGTTCCTGCCCGCAGAGAGGACTACACCATCACCACTGGGTCGTCCTGCTTTCCCCTCTCTTTCTGTGGCCACAGATGGGTAGAGAATGTGCCAGTTGCCGAGAGAGTCCTGGAAATTTGGCCTATGATTCAGAAATACATCAATGCTGGTAGACATAGGCTTGGGGGCTGAATCTTCCATCAAGGTAATTTCATTGTTGTTTATTTGTTTTACACAATCACACTAATTACACAATTACATACAATTAGTTCACTATGAATATTTATGATCATTAATATTATACAAACATTTCCTTTCAAAGAAAACATTGACATGGGTGTTCCTTAAATAAATAATCATTATATTAATTAATTATTAAATTAATAATGTTCCTTAATAGGCACTCCTGGGCAAACCAGGAACCAAGATAGGGGAACACTCCGTACTCAGCCTGGAAGAGAGTGTTTGCAGAGTCTGATTCAAATCATAAAGGAACTGTAGAAAGGTCCCCGTTGAAATTCCCCATTGTTAGGCAGATTGCCTGCCTGGATCCCACAAAGATGGTCAAAGATCCAGAGTGGTGCATCGTACAGATGAAGGCATTAGTACAAACTTTCATCCAGGGACAGCAGCTGGCAGGTGGCATTGCAGCTGGTAAGAAATATACAGGGACAGTAGAGCTGGATAGGTTATTTAAATGGAGTAAGGACTTGTGCTCATTTGTGGTTTTCTGTCTTTTAATAGAGGTTGAAAATGTCAATGATCAGTTTGTAATTTAGGCAAGACCTTTGTGTCCCCAGGTTGAGAACCACTGCTTTAGATACTGTTGTGTTTCTATGATGAACTGTATGAACTTTTGTTGGATGGATGATGACGCAGTTGACTAATGTGTTAATTTAAAATTTAAATTTCCTTTCAATGTTGCAGGTGATGTCATCATTCAGCAGTTCACTTCCTGCTCTCAGTTGTGGGCAGAGAAGAAAAGTTTGTTTCCTTCCAACCGCTGAGGCAGCGTCTGGATGTTTCTCCACTCCAAACTCTGCACGTCCCACCCTGACCTGCTCAAGTTCTGTCAAAGTGCTCCCTCCTGTCCCATGGACAAGCCACAGGGAGAGGCTTCTCAGTTTAAAAGGAGGAAACGTGCAACCTTCGTGAGGAATCTCTCGAAGCCCTCAGGTTAATCTGCGATAAAGTAAATGTGTCTGTGTGTGGCGTTCTGAAAGTTCTGACCAGTCTCTGACTAGGAGCTTGGCATCTGCTGCTTCAGCAAAGTCACAATACAGGCTGTACCTTGATAGTGAGCGGGAAATAAAGGAGAGTGCCACACAAGAGCTGAAGAGGAAAGCAGCAGAGAAAGAGCTGGATGACCTCCAGAACCAGCGGCAGGTACTCGGTAGTGTGTGCCATTCACTTGAGAATGAAGCTGACAAGTGTGCAGAGATGGCTGAGGGAAAGGCAGGAACAAAGATGGCTGAGCTCATCACAAAATCCAACTCTCTTCGAAGAAGACACAAGGACAAAAAAGCAGAACTTCTCCAAGTTGAAAATTGATCGAAGAAAAGGCACAGCACAGCTAAGGCACTTGTGATCCTGCCTTAGCAACTTTTCTGTTTGTTGTTAATTCAATTAATTGTTATGCTGTCTGTCGTCTGTCGTCTGTCTGTCTGTCTGTTGGACAGTGCTTGGCTTGTGTCCAGTGTTGAAGTCATTTTTTTCAACTCCCTCCAGTGTTGAAATTAAGTTATAATTGCCTCATTAAATTGTGATATGTTAATGTCACTAAATAATAAATATGTTTAATTATTCATTTTGGAAAGATATTTCATCTCTTGTCACTTTACTTAACACTGCTACAGTTGAAGTTTGAAGCCGTGTTGGTAGTAAAAATATTGTGATGGTAGTAAAATAGGTGGTAAAAAGGTAGTAAATTCAATTTAAGAATCTCTGTATAACCCTGTCATGAAATGAGAAGAACGTTTGTTATGAATTGGTGCTACATAAATACACAGATGTGTCACGCAATAAATCATTTGCCATTATCTGGTGGGAATGCATTAAATGTGTCTCCTTAACGGTAGGTCGCAGCAACTAGATCGAGACGACTGACGTGCAAAGTTAATTGTTATGAATATTATTTCACTGGTGTAGTGTCGTGTGATAAAGTGCTTGAATAAACTGTAGCTCCTTTGTCACATGCACCGCAGCCATCAAAATCTTGACGCCATTTCAGACATGCATCTCTCTCTAAAAATCTGAAGGCTACGTGTTGGCTTCATGTCTGATGCAATGGACCCTGGTCACTTTTCACTAACAGTTGGGTGCCCCTCTAGCAGCCACACCCTTCAAAAGAGAATCTCTTCAGATTAGCAAAGTATAATGCAGTATAGGACAATATCACTAGTATGTCTAATAATTACAGTTTGTAGTGATCAGTATGGATAGTGCTACCCGAAGTGTGAAACCTTACCTCCGTTATATTCCAGGTTTGAGGACTGTGAGTTGGACACAAGATGGCCACCACTGCCTTTCCCCGTCTCCCTTCAATTCTTAAACATCAGCTAAATATGGTGTCATCCACCTGGAAGTTTTATATTGTGATGGTAAAAAGTGATTTTCTTCCATCCTTCTGGATATTTTGACATTTTGATGTATTTACAGAAGCCCAACAGTTCCCGCCAAGAGCAGCACTAGGAGACAGAGGCAAGGAAAAACTTCCTTTAAAAGGCAGAAACCTCGAGCAGAACCATGGCTCAGGGGGGCGGCCATCTGCCTCGACCGGTTGGAGGAGAGAGGGAAGAGAGGGAGAGAGAGAGAGAGAGAGGGCAAGAGAGGAACAGAGAAAAAGAGAGGGATGAGAGAGAGGGAGGCAGCCTACACAATATACACACAGGGGTAGAGACAGTAAAGATGATGTTGCTATAGACTAAATGAAAAATGGTACAGATATTTTAGTAGTGTTAATGGTAACAGTCGTAATGTTAATGATTATAATAATAATAACAATAGGACTAGCAACAATACCCTAACCCTAACACTATAAAAACTAATAACGCTGTAATAACACTGTAATAACGCTGTAATAACGCTGTAATAACGCTGTAAAAACAAATAACGGTGTAATAACACTGTAATAACGCTATAATAACTAATAACGCTGTAATAACGCTGTAATAACGCTATAAGAACTAATAACGCTGTAATAACGCTGTAATAACGCTGTAATAACGCTGTAAAAACAAATAACGGTGTAATAACACTGTAATAACGCTATAATAACTAATAACGCTGTAATAACGCTGTAATAACGCTATAAGAACTAATAACGCTGTAATAACGCTGTAATAACGCAAAAACTAATAACGCTGTAATAACGCTGTAATAACGCTCTAAAAACTAATAACGCTGTAATAACGCTGTAACAACGCTGTAATAACTCATAACGCTCTAATAACACTGTAA